TGGGGGTACTTACTTTTTAAATTTCACTCATTTCAGTACTCTGAATGGAATACAAGCAGGATAAACACCAACCAGGTAGGAAGTGTGCACCATTAATTTAGCATATTTCAACAAGAAGGTAAGTTTTGACTGCATTGCATACAACTTGCTATGCCTGTTTGTTTAGTATGTGAAGAACAGTATGTTAATTCAACAGTGGAAAGCTTATTCACATCACAGTTTGGCTGCAGAAGCTCACAATCCTTCTCTTTGTGAACAGGGAGGCTCATCGAGATACCACTCTGTCAGCCAGAGGTCAAATCAACACATAGCAGGTCACCTTGACAGGGTAAGAAGCTCTGTGTTATATTAACGCCTTATGAAAGTTTTAACATATAGCATGCCTAATAACTTTGGTGCATGCGGCTCAGGAGGTAGAACAAGTTGTCCGCTAGTCACATAGTAGAGAATCTTTCATTTACTCTTAAAGAAAGTGCTGTGCCCGACAATATTATGCAAAAAGGCATATTGTTATTTTTTCAATATCTTCAGCCATTTATGCCTCCAGTTTCTGCTGCTACAAGCAGGAAAAACATATGGCAAAAGGCCTTTAATTAAACTTCCTAAAGCTCAAATATGTATAAGGTACCATATATTAAACAAAATAATTTATCACTGCATCTGTTTGAAGGCATCAAAAAGATTAAGTGCTCGGATCAAACCAAGTTTCCCCCTTGGAATGATTATAGCGTTTCTGATTCTGGTGCTGACTGTCTTTATAGATTTGTTGAGGTATGATTTTGTTTAATACAAAATGACCAAGAAGTCTTTTTTGCCTCGTCAATCCCTCAGAGACTGCACACCATTAATGGAAACCAGGCACACCACCCAGTGTACCAACTCCATAACTACACCTATGAGGGACAAGGAAGCAGAGCCGAGTCTCTGGATGGGCTTTCTCTCAGCAACCATGGAGACGATCTGAACTTTCTGAATGATTTGGGACCGAAGTTCAAGACATTAGGAGGCATCATGCATCAGACAATTCAAGAAAAGAGATAAGGCTTCAAAAGGCACGGCTCATCTTGAGTTTTTTTTATGTTGACCAATTATTTTTGCTCCACATTTGAGATGTACATATATGACTTTACTATTGGAGGGATTGTTTTTTATTTGTACTTAACAATTTAAATGATATTATGGATTGGTATCCAATGGATTATCCAGAAGAAGTTGTACTTTGCTTCCTTGGACTTTGAGTTAAAGCACTACACTAATTGTTATGCTCTGGTAATTTTGAAAACTTTGGCAGGTTTTGGCAGGGACTGGGTGTGTATGGTTATGTGTTTTTTTTACAATTCTTTTCACTTCCTTGGCAGTGCCTGCTGCCACATAGCAGTGCATTGGACAGCACATCATTTTAGCTTTTGAAGTTTATTCGTGGCAGTATTATTTTGATTTTTAAAAGTCTGCATTTATCTGTGTGAAAGGTCCATAATCAAAGGACACTCTGCTTTAGAAGCTCTCTTAAAAAGGACTGACAGGAATGTGAATTGTCAGAAATCCTTTTTGTTCAATAGTGACTGGATAGTGCATTTGTCCTTGTGGTTGTTAATCTTCTGTTCATATGGCGGTGTGGATTAAACTTGCTTTTCATGGCTTTGTTTTGCTTTGTTTTTCCTATGAGCATTTGTTTCAGTGGTCTTCAACATGCATCCTTTTAAAAACTAAATATAATTTTTGGGAAGACGGGTGAAATCGTTTTACAAGTTGGATATTTTTACAAATAGGATCAATAAATGGAATCAATTAAAATAAAATCAAGGAAAACTAAAACTTTACAAAGGTAGTTGGATCAATGATTTCAATGATTTCTTTCCCATAATGCATTAAAGTGATAATCCCAGATAAAAATGTTGAGCTCATTTCTGGATATTGTTTTTAAAACCAATGACAGGGGTTGTCTACAGTGTTGGTACTGTATGCTGTTAAGCCTGCATGTCTGCAAAGTGGTTGTGACACGACTAGATCGTATCATCAACCCTGCGTGTTGATGCAAAAACAATTTTCTGATTATGTTTGACATGTGTTTTTCCAGGTGTGATGTTCACTCCATAAGCTGTTGTTGAAAGCTAAACGCATTGCCCCCTCAGCCTGTCAGCAGAAGTAGAAGAGCTTGTTTCTTGATGAATGCATGTCATTGAAAGTACAGTATGTAGGGAGGCCATATCAGGTTAAGGTGTGGCAAAGAGTAACATATCATTCTGATATAAATCAGCTTGTTTGATCCACATGCACAACCCAGGCAGACACAAATGAACGTGCATCAAATATACACAATAGTATGCAAGCGCCAAAACACAAAACGGATTACAAAGACTGATAACGTTGACATTATTAAAGTGATTCAAAGTAACACCATCTCTTAATTATGGAAATAGCAATCTGACACAAAAGCTTTGTTATCACTGTTTTAGGTTGGAGCTACAGGGAAGTGTGTAGGTTGTAATCCCACTTTTTTTTTCTCCAATATTTATATCCCATCCACAGAAAAATATAGAAGCCCCTGTTTGGTCATTCAAAGAAAGGTGATGTACTAAACAGCATTCTGAAGGTTATAGCACAGGTTTGGAATCTCCCTGAAGGGCTTTACAGTCAGTTAGTATTTCTCGAGAATGCTCGCAGCTGCTTTACCTGACAGCAAAATGAGGGCGTTTTAATATGATACTGGCTGGAACATGCACAAGTCGCTGCAGGGGATCCTCCTGAGCCAAATGATTGAAGTGGTATGCTTTCTTTGTTTCTTTTAGGTGAGTCAAAGGCATGCTTAATGTGATTAAAATACGATCTCGTCTCTTCTAAGGGAGCAATGTTGAGCCACGAGCTGTACATTTATATCCACATTTTAATAAAGTGTCTTACATCATTGCGCTGATTCAACTGTGCTATAGGATTTTCTACGATACTTCTATAATAAGAATAGTTTCTCCTAATGAAATGCTAAAGTTTTATTTAAACAGTTTTCCATTCTAACAAACTACAGACTTCAGAACCCAAAGATCACATTTCAGCATGGAGCTCACGAATGTAACAAAGAGGCCAGTGCTAGCAAGTTTTTAATGGAGTATCACTCACTCAGTTAACAGTCAGCATATTTCCAATGCCATCATAATGCCATCATTTTGGTTGGAGGATGCATGAACCAGATTTTTATGATGAACTAAAAGAAAAGAAAATATTTGCAAAGGCCCAACCACAAAAAAAACCCGAAAGACTGATGAACATCACGAGGCTCAAGGGAGCGTGAAATACTACCAAGTATTGCCTTAAGCGTTGACTTGACATAGTATATTGAAAGTTACAGTTTTTTAGAATGAAGCTGAACAGGAATAAAATATGTGTTATAACTGTAAAACTTTGGTTGAAATGACATATTTGTTTCAAATTGGCTGTAGAAAAACACAACAGAATCCATTTCAGATGCAGCACAAGATCCCTTAACCAAAGGTGAGGGTTTTGTTTTTTTAAATAATTTTTTGGGGGCTTTTTGAGCCTTTATTGGGGAGATAGGACAGTCGATAGAGTCGGAAATCAGGGAGAGAGCGAGTTGGGAATGACATGTGGGAAAGGAGCCAGAGGTCGGATTGGAACCTGGGCCGCCCACTTGGAAGACTGAAGCCACCATACATGGGGCGTGCACACTAACTTCTGCACCACCAGCGCCTCCTGATACCACTCTTTAAGAGTCTAAAATAAGTTATGTTATGATGTTATTTAGGTTGGTAAAACATTGTTAGTAGGCCCTGTGGTGGAAACAATGACAATTAATAAAGATAATGAAAAAATATATTTAAAAAAGAATTTTGCGACACAAGTCTCCTTGAAGCTTTTTATGGTGTCCTTTACTTTTATGTTTTGCATTTTAAAGTGTGTAACTGATTATTAACATGTTCTCCCCTCCACAACAATCTCATATTTGTTTTGCATGCATGACTGAACTCTTGTGAAGTAATGTGAATTGGAAAATGAAACAAAGTTCTTATCATACTTCTGTTACAGAGTATGGATTGCAAACAATACATGTTCATTTGTAAACACAACACATACACATCCACAGCACACTTGCACTCACAAACACTTTGAATAGTTTGCCCACGCCCAGCTGTTATGAACCCATAGCGTGAGGGCGTCATTCTTTTGACACATGCCCTCCCTCTCACAGGTCTATACTGCTGCCAGAGCCCGCGTTGGCATTCAGCTGATCTTCCACTCAGCTGCTTGAGATTTACTTTTGTGCAGATAATAATTAGCCTTATAATCTGGATACACCATGGAGAGAATAAACCTCTGCCTTTTCATGATAATGGTAAGAATTCATCTTTGGAGACAGGCTGACTTGATGGAAGCGTTAGTGCTTACTTCTGAATTAAATTACACCAACATTGATGGTTGTTTCAACATCCGTTTTGTATTTCTGTGCATTGACTCAGCACGTGTGTATGATCAAACTTAAAGCTGTTCGTTTGCACTTACTGATGTTGTTTCCTTCTATTCTAGATCCTTCTTTTAGTTGAACTTAGTCTCTGATGTGCATAAAGGCGTCTGCAATTTTTTATTTTATTTCTTTCATTGAACCTACAGAACATCAATTTATATCAATAAAAAAAAACAGATTATGAAGGAGATAGATTTTGAGTTGTAAAGTATTTGGAAATATTTAAGGTTGTCCACAATGTAAGCCCTTAGAATGAAAGATCTTTTGAATTTGAAATGACAATATGAGTCACTTATTATGACAACCAATGCAGTAAATACAAGTTCTGCATCTTTGTGTAAATTTGCTCTGTTAATTCAGGTACTGGAAGACACATTATATGCACATATTTTGAGGCTTTTCCTGTGTTAAGATCTTTTTAACAAATTTGTCAATAATATAATCATATCATCCAAAACAAGCCCCTTTAACAATCAATCCTCGTTCTCGTTTGCAGTGTTTGGGAGCCCACATGTCATCTTCAAAAATGCTTCAGAGACAAAAAAGAGACTGGATCATTAATTCCTTTAAAATTCAAGAAAACAGTAAAGGACCTTTCCCGCATAAACTGGGCACAGTGAGTATCTAACAAAAGTTACAATGCATGGATATGTAAAGCACAGATTATGAGATGCAGGAAGGTTGTTGCAAAGTTCACAGCTGTTCTGTTTTCATTGCAGATTAAAATAGATAAGAACTTCACCATTTTCCAAATCGAAGGCCAGGGTGTTAAAGAAGAACCCGTAAACACCTTACAAATCAACGAAGAAACAGGAGTGGTTCATGTCCTTAAGCCTGTGGACTACGAGGCTTTCCCGATGTTGAAGGTAGGAAAACCTGAAAGCACACTGATCGCCTTGAAAGCGCAAAAGAGTGAGTGTGTGTGTGTGTGTGTGTGTGTGTGTGTGTGTGTGTGTGCATGCGTGCGTTTGTGTGTGAAGCATGTCTGAAGGTTTGATTATTTCACAATTATTGCCTCTCATCACAGCTAACATTCAAGGCATTAAAGAAGGACACCAATGAAGTGGACACACAGCTCGGTGTTGAGATAATAATTGAGGACGTGAATGACAACCCACCAAACTTTGCCCAAAAGGTGTACGAACAAGACATACTGGAGTCAACATTACAAGGTAACTTGCTCATGGCACTATTACGGAACAACAATTTACGTGAATCAATATTAAAATTTGTAACAAAATAACAAATTCTGTTTTCATCTGATTCTGGCAGGCACTGTCGTGTGACCGTTAAGGCGATCGATAAGGACAATGGAACGAATGGAAAATTTGATTACAGAATAGCCAAAGTCACTCCTGAACATGACAATGTGAAGTTCTTCTTAAAACAGTCAGATATTTCTAAAACTGCAACCATTTCCTTCAGAGGCTGTCTAGAGTACAAGGTTAGACGTTAAATCAGTTGATCTTGGAACTTCCAAGTCTCTAATTATGTAACTATGAAGGTAACTTCAATATGTTTAAATGTTGTTTTTTAATGAGTCTTTTTCTTTTTCATTGATCAGACTGCTAAAAAATATATCATTACTGTGGTGGCCACAGACCGTGGAGAAAATATTCAGCTCTCCAACTCCTCTACTGTCATACTCAATATAAAAGATGGAAATAACCACTTTCCTGAAATCACAGGAAAAACGGTGAGCAATTATTTTTTTGAATAGACTTAAAATAAATGTAAGAACTATTGGTCCCTTTTACATTAAAAACAATGTTTTTGTCTCCCAGGGTCTAGGGAGAGTGAAAGAAGGAGAGGAGAATGTTACTGTTTTCCGTCTGCACGTTCAAGATGAAGACGAAGAAGGTACAAAAGCCTGGAAAGCCAAATATAAAATCCATGGAGACTCCAAGAATAACTTCAAAATCATTACTGATTCTGAGTCGAATGACGGACTACTAATTGTGGAAAAGGTATGTTGTCTGCGCACAACATCACCACAATATCTTGGAACCTTAGTTCTATGTGGTATGAAAACTAATTCAAGACAGAAGGAACTACTACAATAATAACTACAGTTTAAAACAAAAAAAATGATTCAGACTTTGCAGTGTACTTGAATTCCTCAATATACGGTTATGTAGATGCCCCAGTTTGATGTCTGTCTTTAAGATATCAAGCATTGTCAATTGTTCTACATCTGTTATGGTACGGATTTTTTTTAAATATGACAATGACAAACAAAAGTTCACTTCACTCCCAACAACCATGCTACGCCGTTTCTTTTACAAAAGCGCGAAGGCGGAATTACACCCTCTGAATTTCCCCACAGGTATAAACATTACTTCATTGTATTTCATTCTTTTTCCTGCACAGAGTTGAACACAGTGACGACCTCCTCTTATTGAAAAGTGTATAGGCATTAGACTGAAAAGGGGAAATGTGGAATATAATATGGATAATATGGATTTATAGAGAAAAAAATCTATAACTTTGTGGTTGACTTTTTTTTGCAAATATAAAACAAGAAGCTGTGACATTTGATCAACATCTTTTGCAGCATCTGGACTATGAAGACAGTTCTGAAAAGAAGTTGAATATCACTGTAGAGAATGAGATGCCCTTTTACTCCTGCAAAGTGAAGACTCGCAAAGACAACGATCTTTGGGTTGTAATGACTGATAACAAAGAAAAAAGCCAACCCCCCTATCCAGTGACAGTGCATGTGGAGGATGTCAATGACGCCCCAGTCTTACACCCAAGTAACGAAAAAGTTCCGCTGAAAGAGAACACTGAGAAGGGACGCCACCTGATAACATTTACAGCTGAAGACCACGAGAAAGGAGCTGCAAACAAAATAGTGTAAGTCCTGACAACAAAAGTGCATGTGTATTTTACAACCAATTTATACATTAGTATGTCATTGAGAACTCCAAAATATCGAACACAACACATCACTGTTTTTCAGATTCAAAAAAGAAGCCGATCCAGCTGATTGGGTTACAGTAGACCCCAAAAGTGGAAAAGTTACCTCATCAAGGCCTGTGGACCGAGAGTCGTCATTTGTGAAAAACAACACCTACATTGTCAATATAATTGCTGTTGACAATGGTATGACATGAAGGAGATTTTAATCACTGTATTTGTTATTGATAAAATGTTGTACATTTACATAATATATAATTGCTGAAATGTACATTTTTGTTTCTTTTGGCCAGGTAAACCTCCAATGACAGGCACTGCTACCCTCACCATTTTAATTATTGATGACAATGACAACGCTCCATACCTACCTGAAAGCACAATCGACATCTGCCAATCTGATAAACCATCTAAGGCCATCCTCAAGGCCATTGACTTGGATGAAGGAGTCTACAGTGGGCCTTTCAGCTACACGCTGCTTGGAGATGTTAAGGGGAAATGGAGTATTGATCCTCCTCAAGGTGAGGTCTTGTATCATCCTTTCAAATGTGGCAAAAATCCTATAACCTGTAAAATAGTCTTACTTGTGTCAAATCAACCTCTAAGATGTTTTTACTGTCTGGAGCTTATTACATATTAATTCCGCTGCATGTACAGGGTACTCTGTGAACCTGGTCAAAGAAAGCAAAGTTCACTCTGGACACTATGAGTTGCAGCTGAAGTGTCGGACTTGCAGCTCAAGTCTGCTGTCCACAACCTGTCAGTTACTGTGTGTGAATGCACAAACCCAGAAAAACCAAACTGCCGTGTGCGCAAATCTACTGGCGCCGCAGCTGGAGGCACATTTGTTGGGATCCTTTTTTTGGCATTTCTACTGATTGCAGGTAAGACTTATGTCTAAATTACTACCACAAATAAAATGGCCATATACATTTTAGACCCAGAGTTCAAATAAAATGAGCAATTTTGTGTTTTACACTTATCTATTGTGTTTTATCTTGTGTGTGAAATTGCTATCATAATCTCAATCAAACTCAATCCAGATCTTTTCATGAACTCTTCCTTAGATTAATGATGAATTGGCTGTTTCATTTGATTGTTGTCTGTGTTGTCTTTGTATTCCAGCCATTCTCCTTTTAGCTTTTTTGATATCATGTAAGAAAAAGCAGGACAAGATAGCAGAGGATGAGGGTTCAGGACAGCAACTCATGATCTGCAACACTGAGACACCAGGAGATGACTGCAAAGTATTTACTTTCAATACACAATAACATGTACCTGGTTATTATTAATGTTACATTTGTTTCAATGTGTTTATTTGATTAGAATTGCATTGTCATTTATAGAAATGAACTCTACAATCAAAAGCTATGCTAAAAATGTTCAGTCATATACTAAATCTATATACGTGTGTGTGTGTGTGTGTGTGTGTGTGTGTGTGTGTGTGTGTGTGTGTGTATGTGCGTGCGTGTGATTAACTGTACAGACAAATAATGAAAAATAACGCTGACTTGTTGCATTAAGCTTCATAGTTTGTTAAATTATTCAACAGGTGAAGTCACACAAAGTGAAGAGTCAAAATGAGGAGAAAATCAAAAGAAAATCTCAAGTCAAAACAAGTAGTGCACCACAAGTAAGTTTTTTAAAAATACATAAACATTAAAACAAGATTTTAATGACGTTTAAATGTTGTTTTTATTGATTTTGTACAAATTATGACTAATATCCGCTGATACCATTTTGCTTTTCTACCTATTTGTGTTATTATTATTTTTACCTAGTCAAAATTTGATTGGTATTTTTTTTTCCCACAACCAATGATTAAGGCAAGAACTTCTTCAGTGTCACGAGCCCAGCAGGCCAGAGCCCAAACTGGAACACTACAACAGCAACCAAACTATGTACAGAAATCTTTACGTTTTAATTGTTTTTTCTATTTTTCATTCATGATTACAAAGACCACAACCAACAACTGATCAATCTTCAGATAGTCGATCACACACGCACCGTCTTTCTGCTAAATACATAATAATGCAGCATTTTATGAAAGTTCCAAAGTTGACTCAGTGTCCAGTTTTCCTCACTGAATGTATATTTTTTTTAGTCCATGGGGGCGTCATCATCAATGAGAACAAGACAGCAGAAGAACACCTCAATGCACAGGGTGCGTATATCATTCCCTGTGAAAAAATTAATTTGATTTCATTTTTTATTTTCCTAAAGTTTAACTGTAAAGCCTGCTAAGACTCCTGTAGTTATTGAGTGTGCCACTATTATAATCCATGCTTCTGATTTCCCAGAGTTCATGGCGACAATCGAAACATTTTGCAGAACAAACCAGTGTTACAATTCAAAGGGAAATTCTGCCTAAAGTGATAAAAAAGGTAAGAAAAATAATATTTGAATCAAACCCACAAAGCTTGTCTGTTAAGTTTCTTTTTTACAGTATAATTCCGCTCCCCCCCCCCCCTGCCCCCCCACTACAGAAGTTGTACACTCTGCAAGCACCAGGAGAGGAGCTGGTTGATTATGCTCCTCATGCGTATGCTGAGGAGGAGCAAAACACAGAGCCCAACGATGTTCTTGATGCCATCTCAATCCCTGATATACCCTTTGACCCTGACATGGAGCTGGACTCAAGATTTGTTCATCTGGCCTCAATCTGCATTCCACATAAAAATACTAGTCGCACAGATCTCTAGAGCAATGGCCAAACTTGAGACAGCAATACTGAGAGCAACTTCTACAGTTCATTACTTTATGATAATCACTGTTCTTTCAAAGTCAGTTGTTGGGGTAAGAGAAATGTATTAAGTATGACATTGTTGATTCTGAGCTAGGCGATTAAATTCTCTAGAAATCTTTTTAAAGCTCACATAGAAAACTTGATATGAATGTATAGAGTAAAAGAAAAGCAACAACCCGAATGGAGAAATGGCTGCCTATCACATTACTTTTCAGTTACAATTGTTTGTTTTTAAACATAGAATACACAAAAGGTCTTTGTTAAATACTAATCTTGACTAATCCATTCATCAACTTCATTCTTTGATAACTCTATCAAAAGATACGTTCTGCTACATATTCCACATTTACTGCGTTGCATCACATGAAGCAAACATCAGTACAAACACATTCATTAACCATAGATAATTATGTGGTTGAGTGTGCAGTAGGGCAGGGCCATGGTATGAGACGATGGAATGTTTGTAATTAAAACAAAGTCTTTTGGGAATGTTAGATAAACGTCAAAATGTGACTTTTAAGCTTTAAGATTTTTAATTAAAAAAGTATTGGCGAGGTCACTATCTTTAGCAGAATTAGTTCAAACAGTGGCAATGAAGCCTATGGCCAACTGATTAAAGTCCATGCATTTGCAGTATTTTTTAGTATAACACTGTGTATTGAGACAAAAAAATGACGAGGGATTAGAGCTGTTAATCAGCTGTGTTTTACTCTTTAGTTACACGGAAAGAACCACAACAAAAACATCGATAAAACTTTCTTTTCTTTTTATATACAAATGTTGCTTTCACAGAGAATAACATAAGATGTTTGAGATATTTATTTTACTACGGGTCACATTGAATATTCCTACGTAGGAACGGATGGAGGTTTATTCTTTTATTTGCAGGGTATTTTTAAGGTTTATTTTTTTGGAAAGTTTTTCATGCAATGTTTTAGCCTTTGCTGTAGTTACATAATAACAAACAAGCCTGTCAACTACAAACTGTCCATTACAAGTTCTCAGGCTTTTGAAAACGCTGACATTTAATGCGAGCCAAAATCCCCTCTGTGTTTGTACATGACTGCCAGAAAGGTAGGTGTGTCTCTCTGTAAACATCACACTTCCAAGGAAGAAAGATAATAACTGATGCTACAGATGAGCTATAATTCCATGGTAACTTCAACCACCATCTGACAGCTTGTCAAGCCAGTTTTTTGTTGTTTTGTTTGTGTGGAGATAAAAATAAAAAGGTGTGTGTATATGTGTGTCTTGTGTGAGTGTATGTGTCAACTTTTTAAAAGCTTGTGACAAAACACTCACAATAGCAACTGCAAAAAATATTTAGAATATACTATAATAAAAAACTGTATTTAGAGAAAACGATCACACCGAGGGGAAACGATTTGAGATAACTGATCGGATTTGTTTCAGAGAAAGACGAGTGTCGCTTTTGTAAAAGATTCCACATGTTTGAAGCAAAAAAAAAGCAAAAGAGTTATTTTTCTATTTCAGAATGAACCCGAGGAACATTAGACAGTCAGTAGAGCGAGTAGGGTAGGTTCCAGTGGACCAGTTCAGCACAGAAATGATATAAGATGGGGTATGTCCAATAATGGGTAGAAACCGGTGTTTATCCCACCTCTGGGCCAAAGTAGACCAACCACCTTGGTCATACAAAATACAATCAGTCAGTTATATGGGAGGAAATATTATTGATATAAATTGTTAACAATACAGGGCCCAGAACTGACCCCTGCGGAACACATTTTGTTCAAGGTAGAATCTCAAATTGAATATTTCCAGCCTATACACAGTGATTAACCTTATCAAAAGCTTTTGACAAGTCAAACAAACAGCAGCATAATGCCTCTTCTTGTCCATTTCAGGAACAATATCATTAACGACTAATGTGGCAGCAGAGGTGGTACTGTGCATGGGCCACTCTGATACCAGACTGATGAGGGCTTAGGAGAAAATCATTTGACAGATTTTTTTTTAGTTGGTTGTTTACCAGTGATTGCAAAATCATTTGGATATTTAAGACAATTATTAGGGTAACTGTTGTCTTCTCTCTTCTCCCCACAAAAGGAGTCACCTGAGCAGTCTCCAGATCAGGGGTGACCATCCGGGTGATCGCGTTCGACAAGTAGACCGCAGTCGACCGCTAGTTGTTTAGTCACTATAAAATACAATTGTAAAATAGAAACATCATCATTTTGAATTTGTTCATAAAATTGCTGCGTGTGCGAGAGAGCGAGAATGAGAGAGAGACAGAGAGACAGAGAGAGAGAGAGAGAGAGCAGGGGAGAGAGACAGAGAGAGAGAGAGAGAGCAGGGGAGAGAGACAGAGAGAGAGAGAGAGAGCAGGGGAGAGAGACAGAGCGCACGGGTAACAGAGCCGTGAGGAGCAAAAGTCCTGTTTAAAAGAAAATTCCGTCTCGACTCCTGCGGAGAAATAAGACAGACTTTGTTTTAAACATTTTAATGTACAGCTGCTTGCTGCTGATTCGGTGCTGGACTATAAATAACGTTATATCAAGTGGAACTTTTCAAAACGCGAGGCGTAGTCGTTGTGTCTGTGTCTGTGCCCATGAGTGGATAAATTGAGCAGATTGAAGTTGTTGGAAAAACAGATTTGATATGAATACAAACCTAATAATAAGATAAATCCTAAGATTAGAGTAATAAAAGAAAAAGTGTGTCAGTAAATGTATTGTACTATTTCTTGCGACTCACAGAACTGTAATTTATTATATCTGGAATTATTTTCTGTTTGTTGTGTGCGTATTAAATGCGTTTGTAAACTGTGAACTGGTAAATGTTGGCAGACTGGCAACTTCAAAAGTAGATCTTGGTTCAAAAAAGGTTGGGCACCCCTGCTCCAGATGGTGGGTAGTATACAAGCAGAAATAGAAATAATACAAATATGAGTAATGTGTTCAGTAATAAACGGAGAGGAAAGCTTTAAAAAGACTGGATCAAGATAGTCTGCTCCTGTTGATTTCCTGGGATCAATGGAATTATTAATTATCAACCTATGTTGTCTACTTCCTATGGAGCACTGACTGCTTTTGGTTAAACAGTGATATTGCTAATCTACATTGTCCATGATCTACACACCAAATTACTTTTTGTTTGTTGTTTTAAGATTGTATGTATACATACATATATGAAAGGTCTTTAAAATGGAAGCAACACCTACCTTATTAACATAAAGATCATTAACTACTCCATGGAAAGTGAACTTGACTTTGCTTACTCATTATTTGCGTGTCATTTGTTGAGCCTGATTGAGATTTCATTTGTTGCTCATGGCTGTAAGCAAAGATGAATTTTGGGGGGGGATCTTATAAATATGTGAAGGGAGATCTTAAGCTTCAGTTTAATATCCAAGATGCATTACAATTTAAAGCCATACATCTTGAATTATTGTACTTCATTTGCAGTGACATTTGACTGGCAATAGTGTGATAAGACAAGCATAACTGCATGAACCCTCTGGGGAAATCACCATGCTAACTTTAACTGATACCTGCAGTCATAGCACCACTGTGTGAGTTGTTTACTTGGGTAGTAACCAGCCCAACCAGTCCATTTCTCTCACACCCAACATGGCACTAAAGAATAAGTGATAGACCGTACTCAGCATGTAACAGATGAGATCAGAGGCTGTGCCGACAGTTGGATGAGAGTAATCAAAGTTGCTTAACTGGGTTGAAGTCACAATGGCATTTATGAGCTCACCCCCGCCTAGGCCACTGACACATGAAGGTGGCATATACCCTTCGTTCCATGAAGGGCTGCTGCACCAAGATTACTTTGGAGACTGCGGAGAAGGTGGGAAAAACAACAAATATTACAAATGAAAAGATGAAAAAGGGTCTGTTGTGTTAAATTGAGATAATT